GGACATTTAGAACCAGCTGTGCACGTACACATTTCTCCCCTGCTCTGCCTTCAACAACAAGCTCAGTGCACAAAGCATCCTGTGTGAAAGCACCACTAAAAAGCCTGAAAAACACTTAAAACTGTCAGTTTAGAGGAAGCAGATGTACTGAAGAGCAGAGCATTGCAAACATTCAGCAGAATTTACTGTTGTGTGTTTATCAGCAGGTGCCTACACTAAAAAATATAAATGCAACACTTTTGTTTTTGCTCACATATTTCATGAGCTGAAATCAACATTTTTCTTTGTACACAACAGGGCTTTCCCCCCTCAAATACTATTCACAATTTTGGGTAAATCTGTGTTAGTGAGCGCTTCTCCTTTGCCGATATATTCCATCCACCACACAGGTGTGTCATATCAAGATACTGATTAGACAGCATCATTATTGCATAGTTGTGTGCCTTAGGCTGACCACAATAAAAGGCCACTCTAAATGTGCAGTTTTATCACACAGCAAAATCCCAAAGATATCGTAGGTTTTGAGGAGGCATCCAGTTGGCATGCTGACTACAGGAATGTCCACCAGAGCTGTTGATGTTAACTAATGTTCATTTATCTACCATAAGCCATCTCCAAAGGTGTTTCAGATAATTTAGCAGTACAACCAACCAGCCTCACAACCGCAGACCACATGTAACCACACCAGTCCAGGACCTCCACATCCAGCATCTTCACCTCCAAGATTGCTGAGACCAGTCACCCGGACAGCTGCTGCAACAATCTGTTTGCATAATCAAAGGATTTCTGCACAAAATGTCAGAAACTGTCGGAAGCTCGTCTGCATGCTCATTATCCTCATCAGGGTCTCCACCTGAGTGCAGTTTGTTGTTGTAACCAACTTGAGTGGGCAAATATTCCCATTCAGTAGCATATGGCACTTTGGAGAGATGTTCTCTCTACAGATGAATCCTTGTTTTCACTGAACAGGGCAGACTGTGTGTGTGGCACCATGTGGGTGAGCAGTTTGCTGATGTCAAAATTATGACTCGAGTAGCCCATGGTGGTGGTGGGTCATGGTATGGGAAGTCAGAGAGTCAGAGAGATTTATTTGTCATTCGCATCTCATGTGGTACATGTGGTGGAATGAGATTATGTATGCAGGGTCACAGTTACATCAAACAATAAAATGTAAAAGAAAAACAGTAATAAAATCTAAGATATGAACTAAGAAAAACATCAACTAAAAATACACTAAGCACTAATAGCATAAAAACAATACTTTGAACAGCAACATGAACATGAGTCTGTGTGAGCAGATGAGCATGCATGAACACATCAACATGAAACAGATCAGCAAAATGAAACAGATCAGCAGCAACATGAAACAGATCAGCAGCAACATGTGATTTCTCACAGTGATTATTCTGGTTAGAGACTCATGAGTCTAACAGCCTCAGGGTAGAAGCTGTTCCTCAGTCTAGTGGTTCTACTCTTAATGCTCCTTAACCTCCTGCCTGATGGGAACGGGACACAAAGTGTGTACTGGGTGAGTGGGGTCCTTCATGATGCAGGTGGCCCTCTTCCTGCATCTAGAGGTGTAGATGTCAGTGATGGTGGGGAGACTGGCTCCAACAGACTTCTGTGCAGCCTTCACCACTCTCTGCAAAGCTTTTCTTTCTGCAGCTGTGCAGCCTCCATGGCACACGTTGATGCTGGAGCACAGGATGCTCTCCACTGCACACCTGTAGAAGGAGGTGAGGACTGAGCTTCCCAGACCAGCTCGCCTCAGCCGTCTGAGGAAGTAGAGTCTCTGATGAGCTTTCTTGATCAGGCTGGTCGTGTTGTTGCTCCAGCTGAGGTTGTCATTCATGTGTACACCCAAGTACTTGTAGCTGGAGACCACTTCCACCATAGATTCTCTTATGTTCAGGGGGGTGTAGGTGAGTTTGTTCCTTCTGAAGTCCACGATCATCTCCTTCATCTTCTTCACACTGATGTGAAGGTTATTTTCTTTGCACCAGCTCTCCAGGTGTTCCACCTCCTGCCTGTAGCTGGACTCATCATTGTTTGTGATGCATCCCACCACCGAAGAATCATCCGCAAACTTTACAATGTTGTATAATGTCATACTTTACAAGTTGCATGTAATGCACAACTCCGGTTTCCTCCCACAGACTAAAAACATGCATGTTAGGCTGATTGGTAACTCTAAATTGTCCCTATGTGTGAGTGAGAGAGTGAATGGTTGTTTGTCTCTATGTGGTCCTGTGATGGACTTGCGACCCATCCAGGGTGTATCCCGCCCCTCACACAGTGATTGCTGGACATGGGCACCGGCGACCCCCGTGACCCAAAATGGAAGAAGTCGGTAAAAGATAATGGACGGATGGATGGATGTAATGCGCAATGAATACAGGTGCATTTTATTGATGGCATTTTGAACGCACAGAGATACAATGATGAGATCTTTAGGCCCTTTGTTCATCCACGACCATCACCTCATGTTGCAGCATGACAATGCACAACCCCATGTTGCAAGGATCTTTTCACAATTCCTGGAAGCTGAAAACATCCCAGTTCTTGCATGGCCAGCATACTCACTGGACATGTCACCCACTGAGCATGTTTGGGATGCTCTGGATCAGCTTATACGACAGCAGGTTCCAGTTCCTGAAAATACTCAGCAACTTCACAGCCGTTGAAGAGGAGTGGACCCACACTCCACATGCCTCAATCAACAACCGGATCAACTCTATGAAGGAGATGTGTTGCACTGCAGGAGGCAAATGGTGGACACACCAGATACTGACTGGTTTTCTGACACTCCCCACCCCAATACAAGAAAGCAGCACATTTTACAGTAGCCTTTTATTGCGGTCAGTTCTAGGCACACCTGTACAATAATCGTGCTGTCTAATCAGCACCTTGTTATGCCACTTCTGTGAGGTGGATGGATCATCGCACTAACACAGATTTACACAAATCTGTGAACAATATTTGAGAGAAAAAGGACTTTTGTGTTCAAAGAAAAAGTCTGATATCTTTGAGTTCAGTTCATAGAAAATGGGATCAAAAACAAGTGTTGATTTTATATTTTTGTTCAGAGTGTATGTTTTAAAAAAGGAGGCAAACCAATTTTTGTCTAGTGTGCGTGACACAAGAGAACATTTAACAGTAGCACTCCCACTTTCATGAACTGTGACACAATGAAGTCAAAGTAGCAATTCTTGATGATCACACCTGCTCCATCATTATACAAAGGTTTTCAATTCTTTGACAGATTTCCTTTCAGTAAAATTGAGCATTGTGTTATGTATGCAGTGTTCTTTCAGTTGTTCATTATCCTGCATTGTGCAGCATCGTGGTTTAAAACGTGCAAAATGAAAGTTTATTTCCATTCCCTGCCTGCTGAGTTTATATTTGAGTCCTTTTTAACCGCAAATCAGAACAAATAAAGGTTGTAAACATGTTTGTTCTTACTGTAAATCTGGACATTTACCACTGCAGGGCTCCAGGGTCTGGCTTGTTTTGGAACCTTGAGTTTTGGTCACCACAGGAGCTGCAATTTTATCATTTTGGTTCTGGTGAGAGTTTCTAGCTCTGCAGGTTGCTGAGGTCCCAGTGAGAGTGCAAAACATGTTTCATGTAGTCCAGTTAGAAGTTTGAAATGTCCACGTTATGTCCATGATTAATACACGTATTACTTTTGACACCTAAACTTGAGCAAAGACAGTACAAGAATGATATGAAGAAGTGCACCAGTGCTGTGTTTTGCCATCCTCTGTGGACAGCTGAACAGAACAAAGGTAAAAAAAAAAGAACTATTTAGCTGACAGACATCTACACTGAACTAAGAGTGACACTTGAAATGTGGTTCTAACTGAATTCAGAGGCTCAGGAGGATGAGATGACTCCTTTAACTGGAGCAGATAACATCTCCAGACTCATTCAACTTTATTGGGTTATGTAATCAAACAGAATGAAGCTATTGTTGGCCCACTTTGAGATCTCTGTGGTATAAGGTTGGTTTTTAACACAAAGCGCACTCAGACCTTGCCAACCAAATTAAAAGAGTCCAATTTGTTGAAGGAAATGAAAAGAGCTTTCTAAAAGGATGAGTTTGTCAGACCTTGACCTGATGTGAGAATAAACAGAAAGAAGCAACTGATGTTTTACTTAGAAAATGGCACTGGTGAAGCTCATTTCCTTTGTGGAGGAGGACTTGATTAACTGGATCAGAGGCAAACATAGACATGCCTTACCTCTGAAGGCGATCTGAGCCTCCGGTCTGGCAAAGAGATCAGAGAGATGTCCAGTGCTCATGAACCACAGAGAAGGATGAGGAGGACTAAAATTGGCCTTACCAGCTGGAAGACCAAACGCAACCCGTGTGATCCGTTTCATGAGCTCCATTTAAACACAACTAATGACACACTTTCACTTTGATGGTCAGTCTAAAATGACAACTTTGTTTTAATTCCCTGACAGTAAAATCAAAAAAGCACTTCCTTTATATTTTATTATATATTGTGTTCATGTGCTTGTAAATCATTGTTTCACTAACACAAGATTAGCATTCTTACAGCTGATTGTAATGATGATGATTTTAATCATTTTTACCGTTTTCTTTCAAGTGTTCAAACTGAAAAACATGGTCCATGGGTAGAATTAATTGCAAAAATAAACATACATAAAATTATAATATTTAAAAGATTTGAACTTTTAATGGTCAGATTGATATTCTAACAGGCAGCTGAACGTCAGTAAGTCAATAAAGACAGCATAATTCATGTTAGACACGGCTGTAAGGGAAATCTAACCTGCAGAGTGAAAGTTATTTGCATAGATTTTAGGTATGAGTAGACATTAGCTGGTGCCAAGAGGAATGAGGTGTTTGCGCTGCGAGGAGGTGGGGGAGATGTTGGGCTATAAATAAATTAGCGAGCCCAGGATTCAGAGGATGTGCCCTCAGCATAACATGTCTAGTCAGATTATTGCAAGATACATGAGAAGCTAACCTTGGGGTTGGCACCTTATCCCGACTACTCTGTGAGTTAAGGCGAAGAGAGCTGCAAAACAAGTAGCCAAACAAACAAAGATGGGGGATGGGGGGATTAGTGTTGGAGAAAAAAAAAAAACAGACAAAAATAAGGTTGGGATGAATTTTACAAGCAAACATTCAGAGAGGGAACATACAGTATGCATACATTTTTTGATCTGGAGTCACACATGTTTGTTTTGTCTCCATAGAGAGATGAATGCCCTAAAGTAAAAACCAAACTATGGTAAGCTGTGAAGCTGTCTATAGACTCACTTATAGCTAAACAATATTTGAACAAAAGATACAGATTACTACTATTTTAACTATAAACAAAATAATACTTTCAGTTGTTTCAAACAGAACAGTTGTCTGAATGTCAGTAAATTGAACTCTGTTTGTGTTACAGTAATGATTTACCATGTGAATGTGGAACGCGATATGTTCACATATGCAGACGATACAGTTGTTTTTATTCACTACAAACCCTCAGAGGAAGTTGTATTTTTAATTAAGGGGTGATAAGAAAGGGTTGGCTCAGAAACTGCTGTTCACAAGTGGACTGGCAGGAATCAGTTTTATGTTGCTCTTCAAACATCATCCACATTGTTCCTTCTATCCATGGTAAAATAAATCAATAAATTAAAAAAGACGCAGAAAAACTGGTGTGCATTTATTGCTCCTTGGATGGACTATTTTTAATCGTTATCAGGATGCTCACTAAACACTAAAAAGTCTTCAGTTGATTCATGTGACTGCTGCCAGAGTTCAGACTTAGAAGAAGCGATAATATTCTCAACTTTAACATCAATTATTGAATCCCTGTCAAATTCAAAACAATATTTATTATCTGCAACGCTTTCAAAAACCAAGCTCCATCCTATATTAAAGATCTTACTGTTCCATATTTTCCAGAGCACTTCACTCTCAGACTGCAGGTTTACTTGTGGTTCCTAGAGTTTCCAAAAGCAGAATGGGAGGAAAATCTTTCAGTTCTCAGGCTCCCCTCTTGTGGAAGCAACTTCCAGTTTCTGTCCATGAGGCTGACACATTGTCTACTTTTAAGATTAAACTGAAGACTTTCCTTTTATATAAATCCTATAGTTAGGATTGGCTTGGGTTTCCTGAGCTCTCATTTAGTTCTGCTGCTATAGACTTAGACCACTGGAGGACAAACTGTGGTCAGTTTGGTCACTCTGCTGCTCTTTACTCTCACTGTTCTCCATGTTTCTACAAGTAATTTTATGCTGCTGTTAACTTTGTGTTCTTTGCTTGACTTTTTGTGGAAACTTCTCCTGGACCCTGCATCTGTGTTTGTGTCTTTTTAATGTTCTCTCAAACCACAGCCAGCTGAGGCAGATCATCCTGGACCTGGTTCTGCTAGATGTAGCTTCCTGGTTAAAAGGCTCATTTCCACGGTTTCCTTCCAGCTGCTCAGCATGGGGGATTGTTCTGATTAAGAAACAATTACAGTAGATAGCTTCCTTAGCGATATACATTTGACATTTTATAATGTTCTTTATGTGAATGTATCTCACGATAGTTGACTAAAGTAACAGCAGGTAAAACTTTAATCAGGACTTGTTATTTTTGTTGGAGAGTGCCATGGGACTACTTTTGTTGGAAATGTATACAAATAAACTGAACTGAATTTGTCTGCAATCCCCTGTTAGTAAATCCTAAATGCATTTTTCCATGATCGCAGGAACCTCACTCAGAAGCAGCTGTGGGCACAAAATTGTACCTGTTACACCTAAAACAAGATATATTCATCATAACTGTCTCCTAAACTATCAAATGTTAGGACGGCCTGAAAAAATGGCTTCTGATTATCTATATACATATTTCGCTACTTCATTAACTCGGACTTCAGAAGCTCTGAATAATCTAAAAAGCTATGAGGCATTTCAGTACCTCCTTTTATGATTCATTCAAATGGGCAATGGTGGATACAAAATATTGTTACCCATGAATTGTGAATTAATATAACAGATATCCATCCATCCATCCATCCATCCATCCATTTTCTTTACCCGCTTATTCCATTTTGGGTCACGGGGGTCGCTGGTGCCCATATCCAGCAATCACTGTGCGAGGGGCGGGGTACACCCTGGACGGGTCGCAAGTCCATCACAGGGCCACATAGAGACAAACGAGACAAACAACCATTCACTCTCTCACTCACACATAGGGACAATTTAGAGTTACCAATCAGCCTAACATGCATGTTTTTGGACTGTGGGAGGAAACCGGAGTACCCGGAGAAAACCCACGCATGCACGGAGAGAACATGCAAACTCCACCCAGAAAGGCTCCTGGACCGGGGTTTGAACCAGGGACCTGCTCGCTGAGAGGCAGCAGCTCTACCAGTTGCGCCACTGTGCTGCCATAACAGATATCCATGAGCTTTAAATAATTTATGTCACATTTTATTTGACATTTATGATTTTAGGTTCAGTTCTAAGACAAATAAGAAAAGTTAACCAAACCCCCTTAAAGAGCCTGTGATATGTATATACTACAAATACCAACAAAAAAAGAAGAAGAAATCTTCTTAATATTTTAAGAAATCTGGCATAAAACACATGTTCTGTCACATAACTGGCACACTTGTTTGTTTGTTTTTTTGGGGGGGGGGGGGGGGGGGGGGTGAAACAAGAAATGACATGAAAGGGGAACTCTATAAAGTGGGGACTTTCTTGCTCTTTGTTTATTGAAACAATCTGATTTAAACTCTGACTCATAATAATCTAAATAAATATCCAATTTGTCTCTACTGTCTGTGCTGATAGATATTTGAGCAATGCTCTGTTCATCTTCTCTTTGACATCACTTCTTGTTACTGTCATCAGTTTTCTACGGGATCAATAAAGTTCTATCTCATCTTATCTTATCACTTCCAATTAATACCTTTGCTAAGATCTCAACACCTGTACATGTCTGCAGCTGGATTTGTAAAAAAAAAAATTTGGTAATATTTTATTAATGTTATCTTTCCAAAAATGCATTTGTGTTTATCATGAAACTTTGATGTGACATGCAGAATTTTTACTTTAATATTTTATTTGATTGTCAAATGTTGTATAAGTTGATATCTATAATAACTTTTTGGCATTCACACACATGTACTCTTTCTTACTACAGCTGATTTCATTCCTCTTCTTTCAAGTGCAACCTCTCCAGGTTCTCTTCCACTTGTTTTCTGTTCTCACCACAGATCACAATATCATCTGCAAACATCAAAGTCAACGGGTATTCCTGCCTGACATCATCTGTTAGTCGGTCCATCACCAGAGCAAACAAGAAGGGGCTCAGAGCCAATCCTCCTCGCTCTCCTCACTTGATAGAAGATTGCAATTCCTATCTTTAACACGCCTAGCCTGCTGCACATCCTTTCCAGCCTGATCCCTCTGTCTTACCAATTGGTACAAGATCTTCTCACCCTCTTTAGTGTCCAGCCTCCCATACAACTCATCATGCACCTTCTACTTTGCCTTTTCTACTTCCCTCTTTGCTCTACATTGCATCTCCTTATATTCCTGTCTCCTCTCTTCAGTCTTCTCACTGTCATATTTCTTTTTGGCTAACCTCATTCTTTGAACGGCATCCTGCACTTTACTATTCCACCACCAGGTTTCTTTATCATCCATTCTCTGTCCAGATGACACACCAAGTACCTTCCTACCTGTCTCTCTAATTTCTGTTGCTGTAGTAGTCCAGTCATTTGGAAGCTCTTTCTTACCACCCAGAGCCTTTAACAGCTCCTCTCTGAACTCCTCACAACATTCTTCCTTCTTCAGCTTCCACCATTTGGTCTTCTTCTCTGATTTTTCTCTTTTTCTCTTCTTCACAACAACAGTCATTCTACACACAACCATCTGATGCTGTCTGGCCACGCTCTCCCCTGCCACAACCTTACAGTCTCCAATCTCCCTCAGGTTTCCTCCTCTACACAGTATGTAGCTGACCTGTGTACTCCGTCCTCCACTCTTATAGGTCACTCTATCTTCTTCCCTCTTTTGTAAATAAGCGTTGACTACAGCCATTTCTATTCTCTTGTCAAAATCCACCACCAACTGTCCTTCCTGGTTTCTTTCCTTGACACAAAACCTACCCATCACTTCCTCATCCCCTCTGTTTCCTTCACCAATATGTCCATTCAGGTCTGCTCCGATCACCACTCTCTCCTCCCTGGGAGTGCTCTCTATCCATCCAGATCCTTTCTCTTTCTATCCACACCATGGTAAAACTGTTTAAACCCTGCTCCAAAGCTGAGAGGAAATAACAAAACAGATTTAGTTTGATATCTAACCTGAACTTTTCAATATAAAATTTTATTGTGATTGCTTTTCTCTGTGTCTAAGTTAGACACACATTCCTGTGTCAGTTGCTTTAGGTATGTCAAAATTTGCCTAAAGGTACTGATGATTAAAAATAAGATTTATTTATGTATTTATTTATTTATATCTACTAATTAAAATGTGTTTTTATGACATGAGCTCTTTTGAGCGGTAATGCAAAAGGTTTGTGTTGTGCTTCTTTTATTACTGCATGCATCACCACCAGTTTGAACCGCCGAACCCTTAGGAGTGACTTTTTCAGTGTAGCGATTATGAAAGCAAGGAGCACAGACAGTCATGATAAGGCAAAATTAAAGTGAGGTTTCACTTTCCTTCTTTCATAGCTCGCTTGTTAGCTCACATTACCAATTCAAAAGTCTGAAACTAATCCTGTCCGCGGTCTGCAGACGAAACAAAGCCTGCACTCAGTCAAACTAATTCCTGCTCTCAGTGGATTTGTACAATCCACTGGGATGTCTAGAGAAATTATAACATGCGATCCATTTAATGCGGAGATTATATTCAACCCACTTCCTTCACAATGCAGGAGAAATTAAAGCAATTTTTTTTGGTCTTGTAAAAAGTCAATTTTAATACCAAATCTGAGAGAATCTGGATTTTACTCGCACCCTTCCAGAGTGACATACTGGTGCACCACACTACCTGTGATTGGTCTGTAATTGGTCAATATGAACCAGAAAACGGTGCAGAACAAGGACGTCTTCTTTGCAGCCATGTAGCTGTGTCTCTGTGTGAACAGGCTTTATTTTTGTGTAAAATGGACTCAGATATGCAAATGTTAAAAAGCTTGCTGTGACAGTTAAATGTGCATGACGGTAGTTGGTTAGATATACTGTAGCTTTACTCATGGCTCAGCCTGTCGAATGGACTGTGAGAACAATATGAACGCAGCTTTACCCCCGCTCCCTCCATCTGCCTGATTTTCTTTCACTTGTATCCATTTCCTGGCATTTTTTCCCTCCACTACAACAGCAATCACCTCTCAACGTCTAACCTCTAAACAATTTCCCTCACACCACAGGGTTTTACTTCCATTTCTCACTCTCTGCCATTCTTTCAATTCTGGGAGTGGAGGAAAAACCAGGGTTGATCCATTAAGTTTTTATTCATTGAGAGAAGTCACAGAATGAAAAAAAAAAAGCTCTGATCTTCATCAGAAAGCCACAATCCTATAGCTTCAATCTTATCTCTTTCATCTCCACTAAAACTTAGCCAGAGCTGAATGTGGGGTGACTGCATCCTCTCACACACACGCAGGCAGGCAAACACACACACACACACACACACACACACGAGCGTGATTACACTCGCGTCACCTTCCTCCGTGGTTTAAATCAGCACCTCTCGGTCTGGATGGACTGCTGATGGGGACTGAATGGGTTCGAGTTGTGCCCGGTGAGGAGCACTTGGAAGCATTAAGGCGAGCATTTATCGAGTGATTCCACTGTGTGCATGTGTGTGTGTGTGTGTGTGTGGGGGGGGGGGGGGGTAGGCTCAAAATTACCTGATATTTTCGGGCTCAACATGTGTGACTCCAGAAAAAGCAGGAAAACGTGCACACACACTGCTGTTTGGCTTCCAATTAGGCAAACATGACCATTTAATATTATTGATTAGCCTCCTGTGTGCCATCTGTCCAATATTCTTTAAGCAAAACTATTTTGGGCTTTCCCCTGCAGCTATAAACAGGTATATGATGCCCTGCAGCAACGTTTTATTAAAACTGTTGAATATAAGAACATAACACGTTTCCTTCCTGCTAATCCAGCCTGCTCGTCCATCCTCAGCCAGTTCAAACCCTGAATCTGTTCGAGCACAAATTTATTTAACTCAAAGAATCTGTGAAGGCGCAGAGCCCAGAAGACATCACTGTGAAGCTCCTGGCACTGACGTGATGAATTCCTGCCAGACTTTCTGCTCACTCTGGTCCAGACAGAGATGTTTTGCCCTCCTGCTCCTCCTCATACACATTTAAGAGCTCAAAGGTCAAAACCCTGGGATGAGCTTTCTGAACTTCACTGAGTACTGGAGTTAAAGAAGAAAGAAAGATATTTGGAAATTCTTTCCTTTTTCTCCTCAAGCTACAAGCTGTGGTTTGTCCCAAATATATCAGCATAACTTCATGGCTCTAAGAGTTTAGGTAAGAATAAGATTACCATAAAGAGTTTCTAATAAATGTGAGATAAGCCTCACAATGAGCTCAGGATAATCTGCCAGACAGAAAAAAATAACTACTGTTTGTGTTCTGAGAAACAAACGAATGAAAAGATGGCACTCTGAGTAAGAACAAACTACAAACCAAATGAGCAGTGTGTGACAAGCTTTCACAGTGAACTGAGAAATAAAAAGTTCATGGCAGGTCAACACCTATGAACACAAAAGAATATGGCGAATTTGAACAAAAAGCACAAAGAAAGTGTCCGTGAACAGATTGTGTAGCCAGACTCCACATGCAGAAAATGCACAGTTTGAGGCCTTTTTCACCACAGGAACTTCCCAACAGAAAGTTCTGCTCCCTGTGTGTTTCACGACCCAGCACTTTCAGTGGGAGGGAAACAGACACCGTAATGTTTCATTTGACCAATAAAAAGGCCCCCCCCAAAAAAACGATTGAGAAAAGATGGAGGTCTCCATGTTGGTCAATGACGGCAACAAACTCATTCAGTGAAATCACAGAGGATTAATTAACACTTGACTGATGTGTTGTGAATGACTCTCAGCTACTACCACATAAATTACAGCTCAGTGTTGGGAAATGTGATGATAACTGACAGGAGGGATATACTTTAAGTGTATTTAGTTTAAACTCACACGCTGTTATTGAATCTACAGGGCTTTAGGTCTTTTCACAGGACATCTAGTTACACCTGGATAGGGATGCATGATATTATCGACATGGTATCGGTATCAGTCGATATTAGCGTGAAACAGCATCGCAGGTGACTAATGCTAATAAATAACATTTAACACTTTTCATTTAATATAAATTAAAGTGCTATGCATGGCTGTTACTGAATATATATGTCACCAGCTCTTACAGCTGCTGCAAATAAGGCTAAATAAGAGGGCTATGTTCTGACAAAGGAACGTATATAAAATCAGTATCGGTTATCGGACGAATAAATTTTAACATATCGACATATCGGATATCAGCCAAAAATCCAATATTGTGCATCCCTACACCTGGACCTGCCATTCTATGTTTGTCTGTTTCTCCTTCCTGTTCCTCTCAAGCAGATGGCCGCTCATCCTAAGCCTGGTTCTGCTGGAAGTTTCTTCCTGTTAAAAGACAGTTTTTCCTTTCTACTGTCTCCTTTGTGCTTGCTCAGGATGGGAGACTGCGTCAAAGTGAAGATTCAACACAATCTGCTGCTTCCTTAGATAGAGAACTTTAATTGTCTTCAGTAATATATGTGAATGTTTCTGTTCAGTGCCCTGAGACGACTTCTGTTGGAACTTGGAGCTACAGAAATAAACTGAATTGAATTTTCTTCTGTAAAAAAGAATGAATACAAATCCAACAGATGACGGCTGCAGCCTCCAGCTGCTCATCGTCTTGTTCGTTTCCTCCTATCTATTTCTTTGAACGGCGTGTTGGTAAGTTCCCACTGTGGAAATGGTAGATTTATGCATTTCAAGACCCACTTTAATAAACGCCCACAGCCAAGCAGCAAGTGTTTCAGGCACTAAGCCATGCAGAGAACGAGCCATTTGTGAGTCAGTCAGCTGAATCTGTAGCCTTCAGAACCTTCACGTCTTCCTGGGTCACATGACGGATCTGATCTGTGATATGGGATGAAACTGGGAGGCTTCGTGGCCCTGCTGGATGTTTTGATGCTGAGCAACGAGCACAATCAGAAACATCCTCTGAATCCTGTGTGTGGGGGGGTGTTGGGGGGGGGGGGGGGGGGGGGGCACGTGTGTGTCTGACCTCACCATTTGTGTTAACGCCCGCACCAGTGTTGGTTTCTTCCTTGTTGTGGTTACCTTCAAATGTTTCCTCCTGCACTTATGTTCTGTCCTTCATAGTGACCCCCTGCAGTGGTAATATAAAATTCCCCCGTTCCCCCAGTGCTCCAATCAGCCATTTATCATGAGTCTTTTTTTAATTTATTTCTAGCCAGTTTCAGGTGTAAGGCTCTTAGTAGTGTGTGGTGTGACAGTGGATGTCCGTGTGCCTCCCCCTGCAGCATGAAAGCCCCTCTGACCCCAGCTTGAAAACCTGATAATCCCACTTTGCCCCGAAGCAGCAGCAGCAGCAGCAGCAGGCACGATGGTACTCACGCTGGCAGTGACCCCAGGAGCGGCGCGTCCACCCCCAGCAGCAGTCCACCCTGGCCCCGTAGCGACACAGCCCGTTGGATGATGACATCTGTCGAGGCCACCTGTCAGAGGAGGATCAATGAAAACATCGTCGGGACGAGCGCGAGTCTTTATTATTATTAATCATCACATGTTCAGACGTCTGAGCTCCCAGGTGATCTGTGAGACAGCTGTATTTATGGAAAAACATCCCACATTTATTACGTTTTGTGTTTGTGTCTTTACACATGACACAAAAAACAACAAAAAAGAATAAGTTTGTTGTAAATAAAGTTACAAAGATAATTCAAGTTGAATAGTGCGTCTGTTTCAGCACTTGCCTCTCCTCCACCCCGATCCACAGTGTTATACAAAAGTTTTGATTTTTTATAAATCTGAATTATGCTGCAAACCTTATTAATTATGAAAACAAGTCGCAGCTGAAAACAAAACGAGTTCCTTCTGAACAAATTCATCAGATTCTGCTTTGGGTTTATTGTATGAGCAAAAAACTGTTCATACTAAATTTTGTAATATTCGGATTTATTTTAAATACAGCAATACTTTACTTAATGGTAATAAATAATGGAAAGCTTTCGAAAAACTAATTTCTCAATTTTATGATTTTTTTCAACTATTCTTCAAAATTTCAGAGACCCATTAATGATTTGTATTTATTTTGCAGTGAGAAGTTGTCCACTCACAAACAGCACATTAGTCAGCAGCACAGCTTTTAAAGAGAGAGTTCAGATCTTTTGACGTGAGGTGCTGTGGTTGTGTAAAGGTTATGATTATTACTGGAAGTGTTGTCGCACTTTGAAGGACCTCAGTTTGGAGAAATAAAGATGAGTTCCAGACGACTTTGGGCCAAGTTTAAAGTGGATGACTGATGTCATGAAATGAATTTTATAAACCTTTCCACCTCTGTCACCTTGCAGGGTTAATCCAGCAGATCCATGGAGAAAAGTTGGATTAGACAGCAGCAATGATCTCTGTTCCTGGTTCTGCCTGGACTAACACAGCTTGAAATAAACTTTTCAAACTGACAAAGGTTAAATCATGTCATCTGGAGCATTTTCTTTGAGAACCAGTTCATCCTCCATCCAGAGGACTTCCTCAGTCTACGGCCTGCCAACCATGAACTCCCTATGTGTTAATAATAATAATAATAATAATAATAATAATAATAATAATAATAATA